TATTATAAAGACCAGTTCTCGCTCATACTCATTTTACTGCAGAACTTTAATCTTTTGTTGGCTACAAGTATGAATTGTAAATTGATACATTTATTATATTTATTGTATGATAAAAAATAAAGAAATAAATGATAATAAAACTGCTCTCTTCACCTCACATTGAGGATTGAGTTGTTGACAAAATCAATTATTGATTAGTTCAATTGCAAATTTGTATGAATAGGTCATGGATAATAGAGCCACTTACCGGATTAGTAAACGAATATACAGTAAATTGCCATTTGCTGCGAATACTATGCGATCAATCAAGTCTCCAAATGGATCGATTATCGATCGACGAGCATTTGACAGTAAGTGGTTGTCAAGCTGTAAAAAGCAATTTTTATTTGCATTGTTGCATCAACTTCTGATTTCAAATGAAGTTTCATCCTGAAAAATTCTAGTTCACAGGATCAAAAAATTTTGGGACTCACCTCTGGAACCATCGAGAGGCGATACTCTATAAGCATTCGACTATCTCTAACAACTCTTTCGTCTAATGCAATATCGTCTAAAGGAGAAAGCTTTCAGTTAGGTCAAACAGATTACCTCGTAATGCATACGAATTGTAATCTCTTACCCAAACGTATTCTCCTCGTCATTATTTCATCAAAAATTAACGATGTATCAGCATTGCAGGAGACAACGAAACGTACCCAAGGTGGTAGATGTGCAATAAGGTCGCATATGAATGTTGCTGGAAATGAAATTCTTTTACCACTTAAAGTAACAAGTAGGAATAGACTTGACGGAGAAAAAAAGTTAAAAATGGACAGCCAGTAATCATGATATCCATTTATTTAATTTATTTTCATGTTTCTTAAGTCTCACTCAAGCAAACGCAAAACATTAGTCGATTTTCTTACTTGCATGTATGATTAGGTCGTTAAAAAAAGATGACGAAAGTTTGTAATTATGACATGATCCTTATTTTTAAATACTCGCAATCATGCACTAGTCAAGTAGTACACTAGTTCTAATCAAAAATTATGTTCAATTTCCAGGAAAAGTTACACAGAAGGAGCGATAGGCCTTAACTGAACACAAACGAAAAAAGCTGCGACAATATCATGCGCAAGGTCCTTTAAGCTGAGAAAAACAGTGCAGTGGCGATTGAACAAGCTTGCTACAGCGACCAAGAGTCTTGAATACAGAAATGGCTTATACCATCTTGAGATTTACAGCACTCGGTTAAAGGCTGCAGCTGTAAGATGTTTAAGTGTACTAGGATTTTTAGAGTATGTTGGGTCTGGTGAGGGGTTGGACAACAGAAAATTTGTTTACGGTAACTCCTTTTTTGTAGATCGATTAAGCGTTGCACACAACTGTGAGTGTTTTACAATTTAGAAGTTGAATGGGTTGAGTCACGAAATTCGGCCTCCCCGCCAACTGGATCTGTCTT